GCCCTTACTATAAAACTCACAATCCCATCAGGCTCGCTCTCTCTCGGCCACTGGGGTTTACCGTTGCATCAGTGAGTGTGGTTGGGGAGCCGAACTAGTTCGAAATGAAGGACTCTTTGCTTTTGCATAGGACTTGCTGGCTCCCTGGTGGGCTTTTTGGGAACCTTGAAATCTGGGCACAACAATGGTCTCTGTACAGTGGTGCCTTCTGGGGTCCAGACAAAAAGGAAAATTACCTTCTCATTCCAACTATATGTTATGTTATTGTAGATGCAAAAGGACACTAGACAGGCTCAGTTAAAGTAAAGATTGACTTTGTCAGGCAAAAAGGCCAGCCTAGGATATGACTAACCACCAAAACTTCTCTTTTTCAGTTTTAAAATGTTTAATTTCAGACCATCCTCTGTGGTTACTTTAGGTCTCTGAATTTGCAAGGCTACCCCACAGGCCTTTCCTGAGCTAGTCAGGTTAGCATGTGGTCCTTTTTGTCCACACCTCTTTGAATGACCACCAGCATCATCTCCAATTTGGATGGTCATTACCATCTTGTGACCTGTGAGATATAAGCTGTCAGGGTCACTTAGCTGAGCTGAGGATACAGGACAGGAGGAAGGACATGCTGACATTGGCTGCCTTAGCAGAGCTTTAGTGGTGGTCTTCACAGTGCTATGGAAGGTACTTTATTTCTGTTATCTCAGCCTTTTAAGAAGCCAGACTTAGTAGATGTGTGTGAAACCACTAAAGTTTATGTAAGCCTAGAGCTACAGAGTACAAATTATCTTGTGAAAGCCCATAGGCATAGCATTTGTTAACCTTTTGTTCTCCATAATCTACCATAACTTCCAATCCTTTCTTCTTACCTCATCCTATATCTCACTCATCACCTGCTCTCCATGTCCTTCATCTTCTTGTCCTGAAAACTATCATCATCACTCCCCTGGGAAACTGTATGGGCATCGTACTCATCTTCCCAATCCCCCACTGGATCCACCGATTACTCCACAGCCTAACACTGGTGATTACTTTTGCTCTTGGGAAAGTGTTCCTAAATGTTACCTAATTCACTAAGTGCCATAGGTCACTGCAGGCTCATGTGATGCCAAAGGCCTAGCAGTTTTCTCACACAAGCCACACTGGCATTTTCCATCTCAGACAATGTCGTGCATCTTCAGTGAATGGGTCATTTTCTATACCTAATATATTCTTTTGCTCTCCCATATGTCTTTTTTCCTTCATCTTCCTCAGATTTTAGTTCAACTCTTAGGTATTTAAGTCTGAGTTGCTGGACATCCATTTATATATCCCAATAATTTGACTTCCCAACAACATGCACATCTCTATGGTAGTGTTTTTCACATCAGCTTATATATATATAAGTCATATATACATATATATGACTTATGTATATATGACTTATGTATATATGACTTATGTATATATGACTTATATATATATGACTTAATTTACTGTTACTTTCCAGGTGGGTGTCAGGGTCCCCGTGGTTTAAACTCTCTGTTTAGACTCATTTCTGTGTTTGTGGGTATTAGTTTAGTTGTTACCATGTAATTCATAGTGATGAAAAATTAGTTGAATGATTTTGCCTAATATTTTGAGATTTCTTTTGCAAGACTGATATTTACTTTATCTGTGTTTCTATTTTTTCAGATATGTGACTTGTGTGATCCTATGAACATCTTTATTCTATCTCCCTCCCCATCATTAATTATACATACACACCATTAGGTTCCTGTCAATATCCTTGGCATACTTCCAGGCAAACATGAAATTGTACTATTTATCCAACAAGACTCCCCAGAACCTCCTAAGTTACCTATTTTGTCTTTAATTAACCCTGTAAAGTAGGAAGGGGCACCCTGAATACATTAAAATCATTGCAACTCTGTGTATTGAAAATAAATGATCTCTGGAAGTCACTCACTAACTTTATGTACACATCTGATAAAGGGTTTGCTCATGCCATTTACACAAACACATTGTCACATATTATCTATACTAATAAAAGGGTAATATGCTAATTAGAATGGATAGACTGGACATCTTCTGGATGTCCTTCCAGACATCCTTCTAAACAAAGCCATGGTGGTGGGGGCCAAGGCAGAGGTGGTTAGGGGTGATCAGGATGCCAGGGGAGAGCTGTTGGGGGCGATCAGGCCGGCAGGGGAGAGCACTTAGGGGTGATCAGGCCAGAGGGGAGAGCACTTAGGGGCAATCAGGCAGGCAGTGGAGCAGTTATGAGTATCAGGCAGGCAGGTAGAGTGGTTAGGGGCAATCAGGCAGGCGGGCAAAGTCATTAGGGGCAATCAGGCAGACAGTCAGAGTGGTTAGGGGCAATCAGGCAGGCAGGCAGATGAGCGGATAAGAGCCAGTGGCCCTGGATTGCAAGAGGGATGTCTGACTGCTGGTTTAGGCCCCATATCCAGAGCAGGTCTTTCTGATAAAGAAACATGGAAGGAGATTGTTAACTGAAGGATGAAATTGAGTCCTACTGATACCTGGGTAGCAATGCCTGATGAACGAACAGGTATAAAAGCCCAGACCCAAAAGTGGTTTGAAGATGTGTTTGGTATAGGAAAGATTAAGTTGGAGAGATGCTGGGTCACGCAAACATCTTTTCTTTGTAAAAAAGGCCTCAGGTAATCCTTTGGTTTAGTAACAGTAAATGACAATAACTACCATTGCACAGATGAAAACGTTAAATAAAAGTATTTAAAATTCTTATGTGCCTGACTGGAATTTATCAGTGGTTAGAGTGCTGGCCTGTGCATGGAAGGGTCAAAAACACTTACCAGGGTTGCAAGTTTGATCTCCACCCAGATTTGGGTACCTGTGGCAGACAACAAATTTATCTGTCTCAATCACATTCCTCTCTCTGTGTGTGTGCGAAGGTGCGCGTGCAGGCGTGCACACCACTCAATATGTCTCTCTCACATCTATGTCTCTCCCCCCCCCCTTCCCTCCCTTCCACTCTGTCTAAAAATCAATGGCAAAAAAATCCTCAATAGAGGATTAACAAAAAAATAAACATAAATAATATTATTACAAATAGTATTTTTTTCTAGATCACCATGCTCCTTGCCTTGTCTCTCTACCTTTTATTTTTGGTCCTTTTACATCTATTCTTGCTCCATCCTTAATTTCTATATAATTAGCAACATTTATTCCTACCATTCTTACTCTGCTCCCCTTTAATCTTTCCAGTCAGGCAGTGGTCATTGAGCAACAGAAGCCTCAGATCAGGAGAGAAAGGAGCAGAGGAGCAGCTGCGATGGCTTCAGGAATCCTGGTGAACATGAAGGAGGAGGTAACATGCCCCATTTGCCTGGAGCTGCTAACAGAACCCATGAGCCTGGACTGTGGGCACACATTTTGCCAAGCCTGCATCACTACAAACAACAGGGGGTCCATGATCGGCCAAGGAAAGAGCAGCTGCCCTGTGTGCAGGATCACTTACCAGCCTGAGAACATGCGTCCCAATCGACATGTGGCCAACATTGTGGAGGCACTTAGGGAGGTCAAGTTGAGCCTACAGGAGGAGCAAAAGAGAGATCTCTGTGTGCACCATGGAGAGAAACTCGTGCTCTTCTGCCAGGAAGATGAGAAGATCATTTGTTGGCTTTGTGAGCGGTCTCAAGAGCACCGTGGTCATCACACCTTCCTCATGGAGGAGATTGCCCAGGAGTACAAGGTAAGAGACCAGGATGGGGGAAAGACAGGGCAGAAAATAGCACTTGCTGGGAACCTCAACTTTTTTATTTGACTGTAATTTTCTTGCCACCGCAGTCCTGAGGCCTATGATCACTTTTCTTCCTATGTTCGCCTTCCAAGGCCTGAAGGACATTTCTATACATTCCACACAATTACAAATGATGAGCAGACTGTAAAGGAGAGTAGGTATTTTCAGACCTTGTGCTAATAGGTAGAATTTTGGTGCACAAGCAAAACTGTCATCATCTCTTTAGACATGAGGAGTAACTGGGCAGCTGGGTGGATGGAGACCTAAGTTATTTCTTTACTACAGGATTAAGTATTTTTTTCCAGGGTAGTGGTTCTCAACTTTCCTAACGCCATGACCCTTTAATACAGTTCCTCATGTTGTGGTGACCCCTAACCATAAAAGTATTTTTGTTGCTACTTCATAACTGTAATTTTGCTACTGTTCTGAATCATAATGTAAATATCTGATATTCAGGATGTATTTTCATTGATACAAATTGAACATAATTAAAGCATAGTGATTAATCACAAAAACAATATGTAATTATATATGTGTTTTCCGATGGTCTTAGGTGACCCCTGTGAATGGATCATT